ATTTACAAGACTGTGGCTGGCATGATAATAAAACACACAGTATCTCGATAGGCAGTCATTTCTGAACTCCAGTTATAGCTATTAGTTTCCTTCTTCCCAAAAACATGTACCATTTAAAATCTATTTCCAATAAATGGCTCTGTTTTTGCACTTTGCTCCAGGTCTTAAAGTGATAGTTGATATTTGTCTCCTAGTAACATCTGCTTTCAATTCACACACTGAAAATATTCCTCGTTCAATAAAAAATTTCATGACTTTTTCAAATGGCACGTGATTTACTCAAACACATTACACCATTTCAAACATTCCTGATACTTGTTTTATGAATTGGGATGTGGTGGTAAATTTGGAAATGCAGAGCCACATCATGATAATTATATTCTCTACTGTCTGCAAGAAGATGTCGAAAATGTGGGTCGGTTGTGTTGAAGTAAAAAACAAACACATTTTACTAGAAATTATCATTTCTACCAAGAGCCAGTTTCTTGCAAAGTTGTGCTCATTAAGCATCAACACTGCACATGAATTTGTTGTGTAGTGTTAATGTTTTTTTGTAAGTAAATGTTTGATTTGTATACCTATATTATATTCCTATAAACCCAGGGTCATGTAAAAAATTCTCAAGCTGAAAGGGGTCATGAGTAGAAAAGTTTAAGAAGTCCTACTCTAAACCAACAATTCAACAATTTTGAATGCTCTGTTTTAGGCACTTTGTGCCATATGTAAGCCTCCCCAAGTCCTTTTGGGGGGATGGAGGTGGGGTACAAGAATAAAGCTGTTGTTGTTGTTATTATTATTATTATTTGAAACACAACAAGATTAGTATGCATTAGACAAGATCACTATGCTGGTTGTTGTATTGGATCACATGTCAGACACTTCCCAAGTGTCTAGGACTATGTGATGTATCAGGGAGTAATGCTTGCAGATCCCAGTAGGGTAGTCTTTTGCAGCTGACAGATGGTAATTTTGTCAGTGCTGATTGCATTTAAGTGCAGGCCAAGGTCTTTAGGCACTGCACCAAGTGTGCCGATCACCACTGGGACCACCTTGACTGGCTTGTGCCAGAGTCTTTGCAGTTCGATCTTTAAATCTCGTCTCATGTCAGCTTTTCCAGTTGTCTCTCTTCAATCCTGCTGTTGTCTGGGATTGCAACATCGATGATCCATACTTGGTTTTTTTAACACGATCGTGAGGTCAGGAGTATTGTTCTCCAGAACTCTGTCGGTCTGAATTCAGAAGTCCCAGAGTACTTTGACATGTTCATTTTTCAGGCTTGTGATGCCTCTGCTTGTAGTCTGACTTTGTGATCTTCTTGCAGCAGCTGAGGAGAGGTTGGTTTATACTCAGAGGCGGCCCTAGGTAATTTTCAACGGTAAGCAAACAGTATTTTGCCCCTCCCCTCCCCCAACCAATCACTGATATATATTTTCTGTTCGTTGTGGGAGTTCTGTGTGCCATATTTGGTTCAATTCCATCATTGGTGGAAATCAGAATGCCCTTTGATTGTAGGTGAACTATACATCCCAGTAACTACAACTCGCATATGTCGAGGTCTATTTTCCCCCAAGAGCGCCTCAAGAGTGCTCCTGGGCAAAATCAACTATACTGCAAATGCTTACTTTGCGTAATGGGTTGAGCCGCCCCTGTTTATACTCATGTATAACTGACCTCATGTATATCCAGATTTATGGATTTTGATATGATATGTGGATAAGTAGAAAGCTATTTCACACACAGAGAGAAAGTGTTAGTGCCACCGTCATGATTTTCTGTCCTAGGCTTTCCAAAGAGCCAGAATTGGCACTGTGGGAGAAGGAATAGAGGAGATTGATGATTCTTTTAGGTTTTCCTGGAATGGACTAAGCTATCCAATCCACTCTACCCAGAGCAAGGGACAGTTGACTTTTTTGAACGGTCTTCATGTTGACCCATGCCTACGTTTTTTGAAGTTAATTTTTAACTAAAATTTCTAAACTTATAAATCGGTATATAAGGTAAATAAAATTATAAAATTTTGGGATGAATAAATTTTGATCCTGGTTGGGAAGGAAATCAAGCCTACTTCTGACCTTAATACAGAAGCACAAATAACAGGTAGAAGTTAGAGCCTGTTTAATTTTTTTCTAGGTATTATGGATTCACCAAAATTTTGCTTTGTATAAAAGCACTCTAGCCCTCAACTTTGTCCTCAGCGATTGTCACCAGGGGGAACCAAATTCCTTCCTTCTCACTGTTGAAATTCTAGAACTGCTTGAAATAATCTTATATGAGATTTCCTAGAAAGCGTTTCAGAGAACAAAATCCCTAAATATCTGTAAGTATTAATTTCTTCTATGACATTTCTATATGCTATTTGTTTATCTGATCTCTATATACAGTATATTTCAATGGCTTGGGGGTAAAACCCATGATAACTTTATATTGTGTAAATAATTTTCCTTTCTTACAGATTTTTATACTGTTAAAACCTGCCTTAACAAGTACTAGAAAATCATTAAAATATAATTTTCTTCTGCCCATTATTTCAATTTTAAGGGTTGAAAATGACTATATAGTTAGACAATGGCCTAAATCCAGCTATTACTCACGGATAGAATAGGGTCATTAAATAACCGGGAATTTGGTAAGTTAATGCTTACGTAAAGTCCATTGATTTAATGAATTTGTTTTAGTTGGGACTAACAGCTGCATTTGAGACATTATCCGAAAAGCTAATTAGTTTCTTACTTAATGGGCTACAAAGAGTTCCCTTTAAAAAAGGAGCATGACCACACATCTAAGCAGAGTTTTCAGGACAGTATCATCCCAATTTGCTGATATTTTAGGGCCAAAGAATAAAATTGGGATGGTTCCTTGTGAAGTCAAAAGGGGTATTTATGTGTGATGCCACCTTAGTGGCCTCTTGTGTAAAGATTATGAAACTGAGTGTAAAAGACAATGTGAGTTTTCTGAACAAATATCAGCCTCAATCCAACATTCCCTTAGCATAAAATAAATATAAGAACCACACAATGCACATACAGAAAAGTAACATTGTGCAGCACATGTTGTTGGCAAGCTGTCATTGTGAAAAGCAGGATACATTTTGCACAACTGCATTGCAAAATATAAGTTAAGCAATTGCCATGCAAAATCTTCATGCAAAATATAGCATGCACAACAACAGAAGGTATGCAACTGCAAGGATGCGGCGGAAATGAACATGTTGGCACGATTCTGCATCCACTGCTATGAGCAAAACAAATCCATTGCACAATGGTGACATGTTGGCTCTATGTGAGTAGCATACCTATATTCCTACCACAATTCCAACCATTGTGTGCATCAAAAATATTAAAATATTTTAAAATGGTCAAAATGTACCTTTTCAGTGACAGGAAACCCAGATGAGAAGTATCCTGAAATGATAAGCAACTTCACTGATAGGGACCCTTAAGGTAACTCTGTCATAGGTCTGAGAGTGTATAACTCACCTAAGGCCATCCAGTGGGTTTCCATGGTCAAGCAAAGAATTGAATCCTGGTCCCCAGAATCATAGTCCAACTCTCAGGCCATTACACAAAACTTACTTTCTTATCTACATAAAATTCATATGTGGTCAATTTGCAGAGAAAACAGCATTTGAAGGACAGGAAACCTATTAGAGAAGGGTGAAACTTCACACATATTCACCCTGTTCATCCTCTCATTCCTCTGTAAAGGCAGATGAAGCAGGTCACTTCACCTGGACTTTTGTAATAAGGTCGTAAGAAAGAAAAAAGTTATCAATGATAGCTAGATGAAATCTTTGTGTTCTTGATAAGGGATCAGGCGATACTTCAGATGTTGCTGAGTGGGAAGACTGAAGATCTTTCACCAATGGCTATCATGGCTGGAGTTGGTGGAAAATGTGGCCAAACAACTTCTTGAAGTTCATACCTTCCCCATCTCTAGATTCTAGGGATAAATAATAATGGAGAGCTGTGGGTTTAGTATCAATGGTGGTGCATGTGCAACAATATGTGGAAGATCATCACCTATTTCTAAATCCTGGAGATAAACAATAGTAGTGAATTGTTGGTTTAGTGCCAATGCTGGTGGATGTGCTATGCTAATTCCTTGAAACTGGGATTGGGAGATGAAAGCATCACTATTAAAAGGTAATGGTAAAGGTTTTCCCCTGGCATTAAGTCCAGTCATGCCCGACTCTGGAGGGTGGTGCTCATATCAATTTCTATGCCAAAGAGCCGGTGTTGTCCATAGACCCCTCCAAGGTCATGTGGCTGGCATGACTGCATGGAGTGTCGTTACCCTCCTGCTGGAGTGGTATCTATTGATCTACTCATATTTGCATGTTTTCGAACTGCTAGGTTGGCAGAAGCCGGGGCTAACAGTGGTAGCTCACAACACTCCCCGGATTCGAACCTGCGATCTTTCGGTCTGCATCTCTATAAGGACATCTCAAAAATATCTTTGCCCATGGCCATGGCCAACTATTGAAAGCAAGGCATTGGGAATCAATCAGAATTAGCAATACTGGGACTGATGAATAAGCTGTCTGCTGCTTCATATCTACATAGGAAGGCTATTGCCTTCTTGGGTATTTCCCATGATGCTAGATTAAATTAGGAGTGGAAACTGTACTCCTCTAAATATTGCAGGGTTACAGCTACCATCAACCCTAGTTAGCAAAGCCTGTAGTGGGGAATGATGGAAACTGAACTTCAGCACCATTTGGAAGGCCACACAATTTCTTTGCCTAATTAAATAGACCTTTGGTCTAATCTAGCACATGAGGAGTTTCGTAAAACATGCAGCACTAAAGAAAATCTCTGAGCATTTTTCACCCTTGGCTGAGATGGCAGCCTAACAGCTTCTGTTGGACTGTGCCATGCTATTATTTTAGAAAGGCATTGAGGCATTGTGCTGCTCAACTGTTTGCTTAAAAGGAATTCTGAAGGGATTTGCGTTCTCTTGTTTCATGAGCCCCCACATGTTGATACTGCCCGAAGTGGAAGCACACCAGCTGGCTGTGTCCATCACAGCTACCAAGTCTGAGAATTCCTGATTATACTTAGAACCCACAGAGTCAGTGGCGGAGAGGAACGTTGCAATGAACCATGCTTTCAAATTGAGCAGCCGCGAAGGAATATGCCTGTCTTTGACTAAAGAAGACGGATCCCATTTTCCCCCTTCCTTGGATTAACCATGAAAGACTCGCTCAACATTCCACTTGTACATATCTTTACTCTGGCGGCCTTCAGCTTGGCTGAAAGACTCCCAAAAGGTTGGTGTGAATAACGAACATCTTCTTAGCTTTGCCAGTCATAACATATTTACTCTATAACCTGGGGCAAGCCAGGCAAGTGGAATAAATGTATAAGCCATGTAGATCTGTATGAATGAGCTCATTTCCCCCATGCAGTTGCATCTGTGACTGCCTTTGAAAGGAAAGTATGGAAGAACCACCCCCCTTTCAGATTTACAAATCTCCATTGGAAAGCAGTGCTCTGCTGTGTTTGTGTGGGAAGACTGTTTATCTTAAGTACCAAGTCAATCACAAGTGATAAGACTGAAACTGTTTTCATGAACTCATAGTTGAATGTTTTTTAGCATGGATGGTTAACTGGGAATAAATCTCACTGGACATCATAGGACCTCCAAGTAAATATAGTTTTGAGAAAGCTGCATGAAATAAGTGTTTAAAGTTATTCTGGATAGATAGAAGGATGCAGGCAAACTTTGATATTTTTTAGTTCCTGTGCAAGCTATATATAGAGGGGGGGGGGGGGATTAATGGGAAAATGAGAACTTTTGGTGAAATGTTATGGAGATTTATTCAGAAGCAGATCCCACTATGTCAATACAGCTTATTCTCGGATACATGTGCATAGGAGCACTGCTTTCCAATATAAATCTACATGTAGTCTCAAAAGTAAATTCCATTGATTTCACTGAGATTTTCTTCCAGGTAAATTAGTACAGCATCCTCAGTGATTTCAAAATGATGCCATTTTAACTCTGAAAACAGTTCGAAATACATTTGAGAGAAAGTACAAATGTTTATTTTGAGACAAAATACATCTGTATGTATTTTACTTGGGAATGTTCATGTGGAAAAGTTAGATAATAATACTGAAATGGAACAGAGGTTATCAATAAGCAAATACACACAAGAGGAAATGCAGTTTCATTTATCCTTATATAGTTATTTCCATGTATCTATATATGATTATACAGATACAATTGTTGATTACAGTTTTGTGAAAAATTAAAGACATAGTCCTGTTAACTCCAATGAGATCTGTACTAACATTATAAATCTATGCATACATAATATTATAATGATATTTATTTTTCTTAGATACAGTAATGAATCTTCAATTTAAGCATATCTAAATATATCTGTATAGGATAATATCCAACTTGAGCCAAGCATTTTTAGATGATTATTAATTCTAGAGGCAAGGTTATACATTTTGGGGAGCTCTTTGAATTTTCATCCGACATTGCTTTTCAAAAATACAAGGGCACCCTTGAGAGGCTGAAATTGGAGGTAGAGAACAAGCAGGTGGAAACAGAACCATTTATCCACCTAGCTACTGGGCGCATTGTTCACAGAAAAGAAATATGGAGGTCTAGCATAACTTGGAAAGGAGACAGAGAAGCACAATTCTGAGTCAATATACAGTATGATCCCCATATCTTCGAAACTGAGGATTCCTTTACAGTAGAGTCTCACTTATCCAACCTTCGCTCATGCAACGTTCTGTATTATCCAACGCAGTCTGCCTCCCGCGTGGATCCACAGGTGTTTCAGTACATTGTGATATTTTGATGTTAAATTTGTAAATACGGTAATTACTACATAACCTTACTGTGTATTGAACTGCTTTTCTGTTGATTTGTTGTAAAACATGTTTTGGTGCTTAATTTGTAAAATCATAATATAATTTGACGTTTAATAGGCTTTTCCTTAATCTCTCCTTATGATCCAACATTTTCACTTATCCAACTTTCTGCTGGCCCATTTATGCTGGATAAGCGAGACTCTACTGTATATGTATGCAACCAAATATGTTTTCTTGAGGCATTTTCTAGGTCCTCCACTGCAATGTGAGTGTATTCTTGGGCCAGGAATTGTTTATTTCAATAAGATTTGATAATACCTGCTTTCATATATCCATGCAATGTCCGGGAACATATTCCTTGTGGATATAGGCGTTGTACTGTATCCCAGAAATGGAAATCCTAAGCAGTCCCTCCCCAGGTTTTTTTTCCTGTTTAACTAAAGGTACTCTCCTGTTTGTTTTTCATTTTAAAAGTCTTCCCCACACCATGAGATATGCAACTCCATTTCTTGTGAATTTAGCCGTTAGGGCCATTGGTTCTCCCAACAGCATTTTATCAGTTGAGATTAATATTTATAAATGACTTTTCATGTGAAAAAATGTGGTGGAATGAAGATTTGGAAAAATGTTCCAACTGAGTGTTTGCATGAAGTTCATTAACATATTGGCATCAAGACTATGTAAACAGTTCAAACCAACAGTGCTGTCAACAGCTTGATAAATGAGCTGGAAGCAAAATTTTAGCCTTCAGTTAGTTTCCAGGTCCATAAAAAGCTGATCCGTAATGTTCTTTGTTGTATATATGCACAACGTAATGATGAAAATGAAATGAATAGCATTCATCTTATTTTTTTGGCAACTTTGCATAGAGGATTTGTTATCCCGCAAAGAAAGATTTATCCTCAAACTGGATTTGTTCACTGTACAAATAAAAGATTATCAGGTACATATGAATTGCTGGGTGTTACACGAGGTTGTTTAGACACAAACAGCTAATTGAGAAGAAGACAGTGTTGTATACTTCTTTTAAATATATTTGGCTTAGCAATAGTTATGAGATTCAGAACTTGAGTAAGAGGACACTTGTTTCCAAAGGTCCCACTTCCTACCACCTACATGAAATATTTCCAATGGAAAGAAATTTGACTAGTGATGGGTGACATTCATATATCTTCCCTAATGCAGAAGTGTAAATCAAGATAATCTTCCCTGAAAGGAATACTTTGGAAAATAGCTCCATTAATTCTGAGTAGTACATTTCAAAACCACCTTGAAGACCATCTCATTTACGATGATATCCACAGGAATATAGCAGGGCCAAAACCTCTTATTCTGAAATATCTAAGAATCTCATAAAATCTTTCCTGGCTGCTGCTGTTATAAGATTCATAACAGGTACCAATATTTTGATGGCAATAGGGTCAGAGAAGGAAGTCTCTCTTATCCTCCTTACTCTTTTTAGTGGTGGCCAATGCAGGGAGGGATCCAGAAAATATACATGCATTTTGCCCTTCCATCACATGAGCAAGTGATGGGAAAAATAGATGCAGTGATACATGGGAAGGTTTTCTGGCTTGGGTTGCAATGGAATGGCACAGTTTGGAGCACTGGTATGCTTTCTGAATAAGCTATGTTTACACTCTGAACTGGATCATCAGCATTTGTGAAGTTTGCCACTAGCATTAGTAGAGAAAAGAAAAAACCTATAGCGAATCCCCAACGGGTTTACCCGCCTATTTTACCACTGCAATCACATTAAATTTTCTCCTTTTAAGCTTTGTAGTAAGCTTTGGACTGTTCCTAATAATAATAATAATAATAATAATAATAATAATAATAATAATAATAATGCTTTATTTATATCCTGCTTCCTCCCCAAAGGGATTTGAAACTGCTTACAACAAATAGAAACAAATTATAATAAATGCAGACATTATCAAAAATAACTCAACAGTAATAAAATAAGCAAAGCAAACACAAAACATAGTACATATAACTAAAAAAATGGCAACTAATTTCAAACAGTTTAAAACATTTCAGTACTTACTTTAGTTTGTAAAAAATAGGATTTGATCCCTTAAGACCTCAATCAAAGTATATTACATATTAGCCATTGTTGAAGGTCTGTGTTCCAGAGCCATGTCTTGAAAATTGCCAGTGTGGCAGCCAGTCTGGCCTCCCAGTGGAGAGTGTTCCAGAGCTGTGGGGCCACAACCAAGAAGGCCCTTTTCCTCGTCCCCACCAACTGTGCTTGTGATGGAAATGGAACCGTGAGAAGGGTCTCCCCAGCAGATCTCAAGGTCCAAAGGGTTTCATAGGGGGAGATGCGATTGCACAGATAGGCCGAATCATGTAGAGTTTTATAGGAGATAACCTGCAACACTTTGTAACACCCAGTCCCCAGCCTTTCAACAGTGCAGCATTAATGGGATCTTGCCAGTTCCAGCAAGAAATGACAGAGATCTAAACCTATATGGAGAGTAGAAGTCTTATAGCATTTTGCAGCTGTGAAACTATGTATTCAGCTAACATTGAATCAGCAACTAGATCCAGTTCTTAAGCTTCTGGTTGCCCACCCTTATTTAGATCTTCTCTATTATTTCATTTCCTTTCATAAACCTTGACAGAAACTCATCTCACTCACTCACTGAAATGCTGCCTGTTTTGTTATTTTTCAGTGAGCAGGGAAATAGTTTAGCATTTCCTTAAGTTCAGGAGAATCCACTGAGGATATTTTTTTGCAGCATTCTCTGTGATTTTCTGTAGACAAAGTGTCTGACATGGCTGTGAACAATGTGTTGTTTCCTCTAAGTACTGGATGCCCTGGATGCCCCTGGCATCCATATTCTGAAAAAAACTCTTTACAGGATGGCTTTGTGTGCCAAGAGAAGCATGCTGAAAGAAAGGAATTAATAGGAGGTGCCCTCTTGATCTCCATTACTCAGAATTGCATGACACAATATAAAATATTTACAGTTCCTCAAGACCATGTTGAGTCATTGCATGAAACATAACTCTTTCTATGCCTTTAAGAAAAAAGGAATGACATGTGCACATCCAGTGATATTACTGCAGAAGAATGCTATTTCATAGAGTTACCAGAAGTTTTTTCATTGTGCAAAAATTAACACCAGATATTATTCTTAGACATTAAAAAGGACCTTATATGACTATGGTGAGGCCTTCATGACATTCATTTTGCAAATCTTTAGGAAAGTTATGATGACTGGTTACAATATGATGTTCATCCATTGGGATGAGCCTTTATTTAAGCTATTCCAGTTGGTGATAACATTTTGGGGCTTCTAAAGAACTGACATGCCCAAAAGTCTGTTTTTTGGTTGAATGATAGGCAGCTATTGAATTCAGTTAGTGAAACTCAAGGCTCCGTCCTGAAGTTTATTAATTTTCTTCAAGACAGTTTTGTTTATTCTTTCTTTCCAGCTCCCATGATCACCACTCCCCTTGAAACTGTGGATGCTCTCGTTGAAGAGGAAGCCACCTTTGAGTGTGTAGTAGAGTCTTTTCCCCAAGCAGAGATTACTTGGACACGTAACAACATTCCTATCAGGTAAAAATTGTGTTATCTAAAGAGGTATAGACCCTGGCACATCAAGCAATATGCTAGAAGTATAGAAATAGAACAGAGTTCGGAATTGTGTAGCTCTCAGATGTTAAACTGTAGGTTCCTGTATTCCTCACATATGTATACGCAGGCTCAATCTTCTGGGAGCTGCAGTACAACATCTGGAGGACCACACGAGCCCTACCTCTACTGTTGAAAGTGTAAGACTAGATCTTTAAAGTGTAACAATAATCAATTGTACTGTGATCTTTACAAAAGCCAACTTATTCAGTATGAAGTTGTGTCCCACCAGGTGCATCACAATGTTGCACTCATTAAAGCTCCAGCATATTGCATGCTTACTTTGACCCTGCTAGATGGCCACAGTGGCTCTTTCACCATTGTTGCAGTGGCCACGGAGCTCAAAAGAGCTCCTTGTTGTCCTGGGGTCCCATTGTTGACATTTGCACCTGAGTTCCACAGGTGCCTTTGCAAATGCCAGCAATGCCACCCCAGGACACCCAGGAGCTCTCTCAAGCTCCATGGTCACTGCAACAATGGCATCAAAATCACTAAGGTAGGTGCCATAACCCTGCCACCATGCTGCAGGAGCTAGGGAAAGCAGGGTGGCCATGTAAAAAGAGAGGTCAGTTTCCGTTCAGACCGAGCCCAACTGTTTATATGCCCCTGTAGTGTGGGGCTGCTCCGAAGCTTTGGGGAAGCACCAGAGCATTTCCCAACTTTGGCTAACATGGGGCAAAGTGGTCTTCTCCTGCATCAGGGGTGAGAAGGAGCTGTATGACATCTGAATAACATGTTTTAATCATTATCCAATTAATATTTATTCTGATGTTTTGTTGTTTAATTAATATGTTTATTATCGTGATTTGCTGATTTGTTGATTGATGAATGTTGTTTCTCTTGGTTGGGTGAGTATTATTATGTATACTGTATTCTTTTCTATTGTGAGCCGCCCCGAGTCCCTTCGGGCAGAGGGGGCAGGATATAAATAAAGTTTTATTATTATTCATTATCTGGATGACATGGGGTTGATTCTTGCCTGCCAAACTCTATCGTGCCCATGTAGATTCAAAAACAACTGGTCTCAAAACTTTTCTGTACAAGCAGTGTCTTCAGAGCAAGTTCTCCAATTCATGACTACTTAATACAAAGGAAGTATCAACACAGCCTGTCACTATACAGCTTTTTCCATTTATTTCAGGCTTTTTGACACCCGATACAGCATACGGGAAAATGGGCAGCTCTTAAAAATCCTGAGTGTGGAGGACAGCGATGATGGGGTCTACTGCTGCACTGCAAACAATGGCGTAGGAATCACTGCAGAGAATTGTGGTGCTTTACAGGTGAAAATGAGTAAGTGTATGAATTGAAACTCAGCTCAAGTGAAAAAAAGAAAGAATGAAGCATTTTCTTTGCCTTGAAGTCAATACTCTTATATGTTTCCATTTCATTTCCTTACCTCTGTGGGCATATATGGGCAAAGTGTACCCTCCATTTTTTGTGTACTCATTGCTTCCCATCACCAAGATTTTGCAGCAAATAACTAAATGGGCTATAGTCAAAGAGAAAAGCAATGAAGTGCACTGTAATCAATGCAATAACCAAAATCATAGACCATGCCATCAATTCAGTTTCTTGTATAATGATCAATACTTTGACATTAATTAATGTCAAAGGATATGCAAAGTTAATTTATATATAAAGATATCTGAAAGTCATTGGACTCTATATTACAGATAAAAGACTTTACAGTTGATGAACAAGTAAAAGACTCTATGGTCCGATGGACAAAAAATGTGGGCCAAACAATAACTAGAAGAATGGAAAGAGCTCTGGAAAAAGTTACAAAAATATGCCATCAAAGTAAATTTCTATAAAATGACATATAAATGGTATATAATGCCAGAAAAGCTATCAAAGTTTTACAAAAAGTCCAACCTATGTTGGAAGTGTAACCAAAAGACTGGAACTTTCTACCATCTGTGGTGGACTTGCCCAAGAGCAAAGAAATTCTGGACAAATATACATGATATTGAAATTATTTTAAAAATTAAAATCCCATTGAAACTAGATTTTTAAAAATTGGAATTATTAGACAAATAAGTATTAAAATAATAGGAAATAGATGATGGCAGTAGCTAGAATTGAGTATGCAGAATTATGGAAACAACAAAATATACTAACATCAGAAAATTGGACTACAAAAGTTTAAAAGAAAAAAATGGACATTGCCCTATTAGAAATCAGTCAGTTTTTAATATGTGGTTGTAATGGTTAGATAGATAGATACATTTTATTGATTGGCCTATTGGCCGTATCAAAACATTTAACACATAATACAATTAACACATAGTCATACATAGTCATACATACAACATACAACCCTCGGTATAAAAGAAGTTAAAATAAACAAGCTGTCAACAAGATCTCGTTCAGGTCAAATGTCTGCGTCACCTCCACAGCTTACCCCAATCGATTCCAAATGTGCAATTCTCAGCTGTGTTGCTTTGAATAGAAAAAGGGCTGTTTTGTGTGTTATTTTAGGGTTCTGGCCGGCCAACAAAAATGAGGTTTTAATATATGGGTCGCAGTGTGTTTTTTGAATAATGTATGGTCCAAGGCAATGGTCTCTCTCTTTCTTATACAGCTCACAGTTGAACAATACATGTGTGATATCCTCCACCTCTGGTGCTCCACAAATACAAAATCGTTCGTTGTATGGGACTTGATTAAACCTTCCGTGCTTGTCCATTGTATCCAGCTGTTCAAAACGAGCTCTGGTAAATACCCTCCATGGTTGTAATGTTTCTTTCATTCTGACCTACATTTTAGAACCCAAAATAACCCGTCCACCTTCAAATGTGAAAATAATAGAAGGATTAAAAGCTGTTTTCCCATGCACTACAATGGGGAATCCCAAGCCTTCAGTCTCATGGATCAAAGGAGAACATGTTGTAAAGGTGAGTGGATATTACTATAAATCCAGGGATGTGATGTAGTCATGGGATGGGGATATGGGCTCCTTTTTGGAAAGACATAAAATATATTCTCTTTCCTACCTATTTGTTTTGGCAGGAAAACGCACGGATTGCTATTCTTGAATCCGGCAGCTTAAGGATTCATAATGTTCAAAGAGAAGATGGTGGTCACTATAGATGTGTTGCAAAGAACAGCCTTGGCACTGCCTACTCGAAACCTGTAATTCTGGAAGTGGAAGGTGAGTAATCCACAGACATAAACATATTCATATATAGAGAGAGCTTGTGATTAAGTACTTACAACCCAAAGGTGAAAAGTCAAAAGAGATATATTAGAAAAATAGAAATGGGACTACTGTGTATACCCACCTAAAAGCTGACCTTGTGTATAAGTTGAGGACAGGTTTTGAGACCAAAATTATGACTTTAGATATGGTCCATGGATGAATTTGGCATCATTCAATAGAGAAGGAAATGTGCCAGTGCTACCTATGCATTAGCCATCACCATTTTCCTACCCAGGCATTAAAAAAAAACCATGCCAGAAAAAGTAGAGGGGATTGGCTTTATTGAGGTTCTCCTGGGATGACTAAACCTTCATATTCCACTACTCTATTCAGAGACAGGTTGGCTTTTATAAATAAGAGTTAATGGGCAATCTTTGGCCCCCCAGGTGTTTGGGACTTTAGCTCCCCATTTTCACTTCCTGGGACCTCATTTGAGGTCAGATTAGATAAGTGCCATTTGTTACGGGGGACAGTATAACAAAGGTAGGGCTGGCCCTTAGTGTATGCAGATTTTATGGGTCAATCTTATACACAAGGTTGCTACTGTCAGTTTTTGCAGAAGTTAGATATTGAACAATTTCTGTTAATGATGCTATCCCCTCAGCAATGTCAGATTCTTCTTGCACTATATTAAGTATTTGGAGGCAATGAATCTTGAGACATCTGATGTGGTGAAGCAGTGGTGGCTTCCACATTAGTTGAGAGGTGGGTCTTATTTTAAAAAAGCTATGCAAGGTGCTGAATGTAAATTAATTACTTTGGATAGCTCCTTTAAAGTTCAGATTGAAATCCAGAGTGGATTTATAAATTACTGACCAAGAACACACTAGCCACAGTTTGCAACTGCCCATTTAGTTGGTGAATCATAGTTTGCGGTATCATTGGGAGTATTAGATGTGGCTGAAATTGATGTGCATATATGAAGAACGTGAAACATCTGTATCTGTGCCCCACTAAAGCTCATTAGACATTTTGAACAATGATCAATCTTATCTGCCCCCAAGGAATTTTGTTGGCTTTGAAATGGATGATTCTGCTTGATGTTTTGTTTCATGTCTGATATAATAGGTTGAGTTTTTCATTTAACTTTAGTTGTGAAGTTACAATTGCTTTTATATGTTGGGTTGTTAATTTTCATTATTATGCATGTATTTTTGTTGTGTTCAGGCATTGAATTTTTGCTTTTTATGATTGAAATCTGCCCTGAGTCCCTTTGGGGAGATTGGGCAGAATATAAATAAAGTTTTTTTACTACTACTACTACTACTACTACTACTACGACTACTTCATAGCAGTCTCTCGCATGTCGTGGATTCCACTTTGTAGCCCCCTTTCTTAAGGTTGGCTCTGCATCTCGTGGTCCCAGAGCACAGTGCCTTCCATGTTGCCCAATTTTCTGTGTGCCCAGGAGGGAGTCTCTCATTTGGTATCAGCCATTGATTGAGGTTCTGGGTTAGCCTGCCACTTTTGGACTCTTGCTTGCTGAGGTGTTCCAGCGAGTGTCTCTGTAGATCTTAGAAAACTATTTCTTGATTTAAGTTGTTGGTGTGCTGGCTGATACCCAGACTGGGTGGGCCGGAGATGTCACTGCCTTAGTCCTATCACTATTGGTTGTTACTCCCCGGCGGTTGTCAGGTGGTGCAATACCGGCTAAACAGTGTAATTTTTCCAGTGGTGTAGGGCGCAGACACCCCGTGATAATGCGGCATGTCTCATTAAGAGCCACATCCACTGCTTTAGTGTGATGAGATGTGTTCCACACTGGGCATGCATACTCAGGAGCAGAGTAGCACAGCGCAAGGGCAGATGTCTTCACTGTATCTGGTTGTGATCCATAGGTTGTGCCAGTCAGCTTACATATGATATTGTTTCTAGCGCCCACATTTGCTTGATATTCAGGCAGTGCGTCTTGTAGGTCAGAGCATGGTCCAGAGTGACTCCCAGGTATTTGGGTGTGCTGCAGTGTCCCAGTGGGATTTCTTCCCAGGTAATCCTCAGAGCACGGGATGCTTGTTTGTTCTTAAGATGAAAGGCACATGTCTGTGTTTTAGATGGGTTAGGAATCAGCTGGTTTTCCCTGTAATAGGCAGTAAGAGCACCTAGAGCTTTGGAGAGCTTCTGTTCAACTATCCCAAAACTCCCTGCTTGAGTTGTAATGGCATGATCATCAGCATAGATGAAACTCTCTGTCCCTTCTGGCAATGGCTGGTCATTTGTGTAAATGTTGAACATTGATGGCGCAAGCATGCTCCCCTGAGGCAGGCCGTTCTTCTGTTTCCGCCATCTGCTTCTCTGGCCCTGGAACTCAACAAAAAAGCTCCTGTTTTGTAGCAGATTTCCTATGAGGCGGGTGAGGAGGTAGTCCTTTGTGATTTCATACATTTTTCTCAGGAGGAGGCAGTGGTTTACAGTATCATAAGCCGCTGACAGACAGCTCATGTGATCTGCTGCCTTTCAAAGCCATCTTCTATGTGCTGAGTCAGGTTCAGCACTTGCAATGTGCAGCTTTTGTGATATGCAATACAACTGTTTTGGTTGGCTCCTGACATGATAAATAAATAAATAAAATAGCAGTCTCTCTGTGAAAAATGAGATGGAAGGAGGGGTGCATTTCACAGTCACCATTTTAAGGGGAAATATGGTGCAGAATCATACTAAGGTAATTTAATCAGCAAGACAGAAAATACTGCCAATAGCAAAGCAGTAACAGTAAGATCGAGCCAAATAATTGATTATTGTCTCTTAGAAAGCAATGTTTTTTTTTTTAAATGAGAGACTTACAACCTCATCACAGCCACCCACACACCGGTGCCGTTTTGCCAGGCTCTTGGGCTACAACTCTTGTCTTCTGTGATCATGTTGGCTCAGGCTGAAAGACCTGGAGATCCACAGGTCTCTTGCCAGTATGTAGGGAGACTTGGTCTTCTTCACTGTTAGATAACACTGGCCAATACATATTTTGGTGCCTCAAATGTTAGCCCTATTTCTGGGTATATTTCACTTGCCGATTCCAAAAATGGCAACAATTTTCCCCTATTATATCTAATTTTTGAGATACATAATCTATGCCATCGGCTCACCTATATTAAATCATGATAACCATATGAAAGAAATTAGAGCTGATGCGATCTATTTAATGCAATTTTCTGAATCAGTACCCCGAATAACCCCAGGAACAGGCCTAAAATCCAAGACACCAAACTTTTCTTTTTGCGTAATAAACAAAGCAACAATTTTGTACTGTTTCATGACCCTTAAAACAGGTTGTATGCGGTGACCGTTTTGAGATCATGAAAATAAAGACACTCGATTTTCTGTAGAATCTGTTGTAATGCAACATATTTGTTTGTCAGTGTCTGATGACTCAGAACCATTATTTAGCCCCCCGATTTGCCTCGGATTTGCCTCGATATAAAAGCAGAATCACTTTGTATATGTTCAAGAGCCCCTGGCGGTGCAGTGGGTTAAAACCTTGTGCCGGCAAGATTGACAGATAGGAGGGTTGAATCCGGGGGGAGTGTGGATGAGCTTCCTCAGTCAGCTCCAGATCTCCATGCGGGGACATGAGAGAAGCCTCCCACAAGGATGATAAAACATCCTGGTATTCCCTGGGCAACATTCATGCAGACGGCCAATTCTCTCACACCAAAAGTGACTTGCAGTTTCTTAAATTGGTCCTGCCAGGAAAAAAATCAATCTGCTATGCTTTTTGGATTAATGTTCACAGTGGATGGGAAGAACTAAGGTCCTTTCTTCACTGCCAAATAAAATCCAGTTTATCTGCTTTGAATTGGATTATATGGCAGTGTAGACTCATATAATCCAGTTCAAAGCAGATAATGTGGATTATCTGCTTTGATAATTTGGATTATATGGCTGTTAGAAAGGGCCTCAGACTACCAAACATGTGCACCACCCATACCTGAAAATATTAAGCACCTGTTTTAAATCAAAGTTAGGCATTGTGCTGAAATTTGACCATGATGAGCATAAGTAATCCCTTTTCAATGTGTATTATCTTTTTCTTAGAAGTGAAAATATTCATTTGTTTTCTCCATTTTTGTTGTGCAGTGTTCAAAGAGACAAATGCAACATATGGAGGTATCTTGGGGTGGTTTGCTGTGTTTTAGTGACTATAGTATTAATAATCTGTGCTGTGATAATATTCCAAATGATAAACTTTGTTTAGTTGATGACACTAACAAAGTTTATAGGAACTGTTAGAGACAGAGAGAGCATGTGAGCAGAGTGACATTGGGTATTACATACATTATGGAACCATATTAGTCATTGTCAACCATTGTATTCAGTGCATACAATGGTTTAATCTGTGTGCGCACAGCAGAGTGGAAATGGAATTCCATTCCCATTTATCCAAACTTTGAATTTTCTGAAGGTTTTGGATTGGAAGTCCTCCAGGATAAATGGGCATTGTCTGTATTGGAAAATACAATCTCTTTGGCCATTAGGAATTGCCTCTTTATGCATGCATTTTGCATGGTTTAACAAAGTGCATGTCCTAAACAAAGGCATTTACCACCCTTCTTTATTAAAATGCATATAGGTGAAATATTTCAAGCACTTATAACCTCACAATCTTATTGAGATCTGCTATAGCACCCAAATAAGATTTTCCCCTTAAAAGCCGAATATGAACGTGATGTTTCCACTCAAGTTGTCTGAAGTACCATTGACGGCAATGCAACTTGGGATGCTCCTCAAACTTAAATGCATTCCAGATATTGGTTAAGTGACATCAATTGAATTTTCCCAAGAGTGACATTAATTAGGATCAGTATATCAACCTGGCCAGAATATGAAAATAACCGTAGAAGGAAATCCCACAAAATCCACATTTACATGTGTTTTTTGTGATCTAGCTACATTTGAACATGTAAAATAGTTTCAATTGATAATAGGGAACACCAGTAACAGAAGTGTATTTTTATAAT